TCTCGGCCTCCCAGAGTGCTAGGATTACAGGCGTGAGCCACCGCGCCCGGCCTCTTTTTTTTTTTTTAATAGAGATGGGGTCTTACTATGTTAGCCAGGCTGGTCTTGAACTTCTGGCCTCAAGGAATCCTGCTGCCTTGGCTTCCCAAAATGCTGGGATTACAGATGTGAGCCACCACACCCAGCCCAAAGCCCTGTTCTATCCTTGTAAAATTCCAGGGAACAACTTTTCTGTGAATCCATTTAAGGGCCTAAAAACTCAACTTTCTTTAGAATGACACTATTCACCATAATATCTTAAAGAAAATGTCATCTCCTAAAAGTGAAAATCAAGGTATCAAACTTATTGCTATCATCTGTAAAATTTTTAATAAATTAATTTTTAACCAGAAATTTGTGGATAAGTTGAGATCACAGGAATCAAATTCTATTCTCGGGCTACCTTCCTGCTGATTTAATATTATAAAAACTGATTTTAGGCAACAAATCCAAGAGAAATCAGAACTGGTTACGAGAAGCAAGCTTAGTTGAAAAATAACTTTGGAAGACCAGGAGCTTTCTGACTGTTTGCTTCCTGAGGTATAAGATACAGGTGGCTATCCTGCTTACCAGCCGGTTCTTTCAGAAACCAGTATGAAATTTTATGCACCAGCAATTTTCCCTAACCATCCTAGGCTCCTGAGAGGAAGAAAAAGAGCAAACAACCGTATTTTCTAGGGTGAACATCTTGGACTTAGCTATGTTGTAAAGTTTCCAAACAGTGAAAACATCAATAACAATCCTGGAAACCAGAAGAAAATGAAGCAATGTCTTTGATATTCTCAGGAAAAATGTACTTCCTAAATGGAACCTAAAATTCCTATACCCAGGGAAAAAAAAATCCATTTTGATACAAAGACAGTTTGATGTGAAGGGTCTCAAAAATAATCCCCTGCCAACTCTTTCTAAAGAAGCTACTGCAGGGAGAAAAGAAAAGCAAGAATTCTCACCAGGATAATGGTGAATGAAAGACCAGGACAACTGTGTAGGCCTAGAGAACAAGCAGTCTGGAAGAGGAAGACAGATCCAGGAGGGATGTCTTTAAGTAAATAAATGGAACTGACAGAATACTTGATGCATCTGAACATACTGAGAAGTAATGAGAAAACTAAATTTAGGAAAAGGTGATAATGAAAAAAGTAGAGACACCATATTATATGGCTCAGTTGTCATATTAACATAGACATAATAGTATAAATATCAAATATTAATATTTATTTTACCAAAAAGAGTGACATCCTTCTAGGATGGTCAATACACACTTAAAAATGAAAAATAAAGAAACCACAGTAAAAGCATATTATTTAGAAATATAAAAGAAAATACCAAAAGATAGTTAAAAGAGAAAAGTGATTGCCTCTAGACAGCAGAAATCTGTTTTTCGTTACAAATATAAATAGTGGTTTCACTTTTAACTATTAACAAGCAATTAAAAATATAACAAAATTTTAAAGAAAGAAATAAAGCATCCAGGCAGAAAAGCAAGATGAAAAAAGGAAAACAAAAACATATTGGTCCCAGCATTCTCCTCTGGGATACTGTAATTTCCAAATAAAACTAGAATGGCCACAATTATCTCCCACATATGCTGTTCTATAATGTGATTTTGCTGCTACTCCCCACCCAGTCATCAAGAAATGAAATCTACTCTCTCCCCAGAAAAATTTGTGCAGGCCATGTGACTACTTTGACCAACAGGACACAGTACAAGTGTGACATTGTGAATTCTGGGTATAGCTCTTAACTAGCCTGGCACGTTGTTGCTTCTTGTAGCCACAAACTGCTATGTAAGAAGTTCAGCTACTCTGCTGAAGAGAAAAGCCAAGTAGAGGAGCAATGAGGTGCCAGACATGTAAGTGAAAAAGCCATCTTACACATCTGGCCGGCCAAGCTTTCAGTTGTTTGTTATCCAGCAGGAGATAACCAGAACATCTCTAGCAATAAGGAATGCTAGAAGACAATGTAGCAATGTCCACATGGTCTGGAAGGAAAAGGGTATGGCCAGACAATTCTGTACAAAGCCAAGACATAATCTATTCATGTGAAACAGTAAAAATACTCTCAGCAAAATCTACAGAGTTAAAAAAAAGTTCTATAGGGCAGCGCTGACACCAAATATTTTCATTACCAAACAAAAAGGATTATAAAATGCAGATTCAACTAAAGAGAAAAGTTAGGGGGAAAAAAACCTAGGAAAAGCAGAAGAAAAGAATTAACAAGAAATGGAAGACAACAATGAATTAGAAAACTTAAAACTGCTAGAACTGATAAACCCAAGAGTTGGTTCTTTAAATAAAACCTGTGATAGCCTCTAAAATGGCCCCCAACATCCTCTATCTCCTGGGTACTTTTGTAATCCCCTCCCCTTGAGTGTGGAGTACTCCCAGTGACTCCCTTCTAACACAAAGAACACAGCAGAAGTGACAGGATATCACTTCTAAGATTTTGTAAAAGACCGTGCCTTCTGTCTAGGGTGCTCTGGCTTTCTCTCCCTTTGTCGTGGAGCACTCTCACCAAGGGAAGCAAGCTACCATGCAGTAATTCCACTTGGTAAGGTGAAGAACTAAGGCTCTTAAGTCTTAAGATCCCACAAGGAAGGTAAGCCTGCAAATATCTACACAGGTGACCTTGGAAGCAGATACTTTAGGCCCAGTGGACAGCCTCAGCCAACAGCTTCAGCGCAAACTCACATGAGAGAGACCTTGGGCCTAAGCCACCCAGGAAGAAGATTCCTTACCCACAGAATTTGTGTTTTAATATTTGTTGTTCTAAGCTGCTAAATTTGGGGATAATTTATTATACAGCAATAGATTAATACACTATCCAAGTATACTATCCAATTAAGAGAGGAAAAGAAAGGATAACAAATGGACAAAGTTAGCATTGAGAAAAAGACATAAACCAAATACAGAAAAAGACAATATTACAGATAATATCTTGCATAACTATATGCTAACATATTTGAAAATCTATAAGAAATAAATTATTCTCTAAGTCAGTTCAAATTACCAAAACTGACCCAAGAAGATAAAGCAAACAATAGGAGAAATTTACAAGTTAGAAAAGTGTCACTCTGAAAAAAAAAAAGGGAGTAGGGTTTATTTCCAGAAATAGAAGGCTATTATAATCCAATAACAAAAAATCTGTTAATATAATTAACTCATTTAAGGCAATGGAGAAAAAAATGTCTAATCACATTAGATGTGCAAAACACACATAATATCAAAACCAGTAAGTAATCCACAGAGACAGAAAGTACAATGGCAGTTGCCAGGGGCTGGAGGGAGGAGAGGATGCAGAGCCATTGTTTAATGGGTACAGTTTGTTTGGGGAGATGAAAAAGTTCTGGAGATAGATGGTGGTAATGGTTACAAAATCTGAATGTGTTTGATGCTACTGAACTGTACACTTAAAAAGGATTAAAATGGTAAATTTTATGTTACATATATTTTAACACAATAGAAAAACTTAAAAAAAATTTTAAGTGTCTTGCTTATTATCCAGCTTTTCCTCTACCAAATGAATTTTAGAGTCAATTTGCACTATCTATGCTTTTAAAAAGCAAAAAAGTAAAATAAAAGTAACCCATGTAAAATGTATTTTCCTCCAGTGAGTAAAGCCCATGTAAAAATTGGTACTTGGTTCAAGATTTCCTGCTTCCTTTTCAAAAGTCACCAAGACATATGAATATAAAATAAAAAGTCTTCTCAAAAAGAAACCTAAGGCTATGATCTACTTACAAATTATTTCACTAATTTCTTGTGTTTAAGGGTCAAAAACACACTTCTGAAATTTCCAAACTTTTAATGAAGTCTTTTCCCTGGGGACTGATTCCCTATGAAGCCTCCACAATGTCTAACCAGCATATTAGATAACAGATATTATAATAAATGATGAATTAAGTAGCACAAAAAAATATCATTGCTCATTCTCCCTGTAAACTATTTTTTAAGTTTTAATTCACATATGCTTTACTGCCTTTCATCTCTAAACATAAATGGTTATAAAAACATTCATTACATCTTACAGCCTCTGAAAAGAAATTATATTTACCACATTACAGAGTTAGATAACTTGCCTCAGGATTTCTAATGAGTCAGCTGTAAGTCTGGGAAAATTCAAGTGGTGTCACCACCCAGATTAGGGCTCACATCTTTGTGGCCCTACCTGATAAAGACGTATATTTCATGCAATTCAAGACTTACTTAAGAAATACTACAACTGCACCATATATAAACATACGTAAGACAAGGTTTTTTAATATATGTTTGTCACATATAAATACATAAAAATAATGAGATCATCATAACTTTTAAAATTAAAAAAAAAAATCCTATGGTCAGATCTGATTTTAATTCTTAGTCCAACTGTTCTGTTTTCTTTCATTTTGGCACCAACCTGTTTCCCCAAACTAAAAAAGAAACTATTGATACAATTTAACCAAGAACTGATTTGAGAAGTTAAGGATGTAATTGCTCATTATACTGTCCAAAATAAAAATATATTTGGTAGAAAACATTCAGCAACATATTTGGTGAAAGGCAATGTGAAAACCAACATTTACCTAAAATCAAAATCTAACCTTTCCTTCAATGAATAGCTACAAGCTCATTAAAAAAGATCAATATGTAAATTCATAATGAAAAAGTATCCAGAAAACGTAATAAATGCAATGTGCCGATCAGTATGTATAAAATACCATCTTTGTATGTGTTGAGATGTACACATACTTGTAAAATTTCTGAAAGAGTATACAAAAGAGTTAACAGTGACTACCTTTAATATATAGGTCAGATGAGGGAGCTGTTTACTTTTCACTTTATGCTCTTTTGATAAGATGGCTAGAATTTTATACACAACCAACATGTATCTTTTTTCCAGAGACTTTCAAATTTCACCTTATATTTAAATCATACACTCTAAAAATTTACCAAATATTTTCTCATATTTACTTAATCTTCCAGAGCTTACCTACTTTGTTGATCTCCTGGCGTGGGGACTGAATATACTTTATCTTCTCCAACCTTTCCAGATTCTTGTATTCTTATTCTAAAATTACAATAATTTTACCTTAAATGTTTCAGATTTATTTTCTCGTGTCATATAAATGATTGTTCACAGTGTTTCACGTTTACCTTCCCTATGCCTCATTGTGTTTTTAGAAAAGTAATGACAAATACCAACAGTTGGTGTTGCAGTATGTATCATCTGTAGCTTGAAAATCCCAACCACCCTGTGACCAAACAGACTGTCACAAAGGACCTCTTTTTACAGCGTCAAGTATCTCATGAGCTCTGGAAAATATTAACCAACAATGGTGATGACGGAACAAACGTTCATGGTCACTTTAGATTGCTTAAAGTTAACTGAACAAGAAACATCTATGGGAGTAAAAGACTTTGCCAGCTCAAAACTATAACTATTGTTAGGTTATTCCCATAAACACGTGTGTTCATCTCAATTCTGCCATTTAAATGTTGTGGGACCCTAGGTGAGTTCTACCTAATACCTCTCAAAACGGAGGTTTCACATCTGTAAAATGGGCATAATTACACCTACCCCAGTAAAGTCCTGTGAGAACCTCGCACAAAGAAGGGGCTCAAAATGGCAGTACTCTTCCCTTCCCTTTCTCGAAGGTTTATAACCAATCTCTCAGGCGTCCCTCCTAATACGCCTCCACCGCCATCGCCTCGGCGCCCTCCTGCCCCTAACCTCCTCCCACCACCCGTGGGGCTGACTGGTTCTGTGGAGTCCCACTCAGCTCATCCTCGCCATCACAAAGGGCCTTCTCCCTCCCATAAATGAAGTCCCATAGCGGAGGGGAGGGGAACGTGGTTCCCCAAACTCCCCATCTGGGACAACAGGGAATGAATGCAGGACCCAAAGCCACCCACTCCGCCATCAGCGCCCCCCACCTGACTCCCCGCCAAACACACCCAGTATAGAAGCCTGTGCTACAAGGGAAAGAAAAGGGACCCAGAGCCTCCTTGTCAGATCCCAAAAGAAGGTCCTCGGACTCACCGAGCGGAGGAGAGACCATGCGACTCCACAGCGCCGAAACGCAGCTGCACAGTCTCCAGGCAGATGCTGAGAGCAGCTCTGCGGTCCCGCCCTCCGCCGCCCCAGAGGACTTCAGGTGCCCAGACGGGGCGGGGCCTCTCGGAGCCTCGCGGCGCAGGCGCAGTGTCCAGGCAACATTCAACTGCGTAGCGTCAGCCAATGGGAAAGAACGCGGGACCGCTGTTCGAAAGTAAACGGCGGACAGAAGGTGGGGGCGGGGTTCGGTTCGAGGCAGGCGCCCGATTTCTGCGCCTGAGCGCTGCGCGCAGACCGCCTCTCCGAAGTTTGCGGAGCTGCCTAGCGGGAGCGGCTCTGCAGTCTGTGGGCGCGTCGGCTGGCTCTACCTCGTGGCCTGGGGTCCTGCCTGGGGAAGCGGGATGGCGCCAATGGCCCGGAGAGAGGCGGGGCCTGGCTGGGGCCAAGCCGAAACGCCGGCGGCCGACGATTTCAGTGGGCCAGGCCGGCGGAGCCTGATACTGGGCTTTAAAGCACAGTGTCTCACCTCATAGATGCCCTGTTCCGGGAAGTCGCCACCCGCCCTGGGGACCCCCGCACACTTGTGGGCAAGCTCCGCCCTCCCTTGAGCTGAGTTTCCTCCTATTTACCGTCTGGAGACCTGGACTCACCGGAGTACTAGGCTGAGCATGGGAGGAAGCGCATTAGCGCGCCCTTGTACTCGGAGAACTGGAGCAGTGTTGACAGCTGTGAGAGCTAGTGGGACCCTTAGGACTCACCTGGCAGATCTCTGCTGCTTTCCCTCCTCCTCGCTCTCACCTCCCTGCATTTCTCCGCTTACTGAAATTATCCGAGAGATGACTGCTGTACGATTCAATACTTTTCCCAACTTCTCCAAGTTCCTACTTCACCTTCCTGACGCCTTGGAGTCAGAAAACATACAGTTCAGTTGTCTTTTTCCCTTTTTTTCCTGAAAACCATTAAACTGTATCTCAAGACACAGTCGCTTCTAATCACAGCTTCCCTTCCTGTCAACCTTAAATAATGCGGTTCGGAAAATATAATTAAATATAGAGTTTATTCGCGCTCAAAGTTGAGAATAGCCACCAGGAGACACGGACTCCAAATGAATGGGGGTCAGCGGTCCAAACTGAAGTTTCACTTGTATAGGCAGAGGCAGAGAAATTTTAGCAAGATCTCAACATTTTCCATGGGAGACCAGGGATTCATTTGGTTACAGATTACTACATTCCAGGGAAGATTACTTTATTACTCCCGGAGGAGGGGAGGTGACCTGAGGGGGTCTTATCTCTGGTACCCTTTGGTCTTCCTAATTATTTACAGACAAAAAAGGCAGAATTTGCAGCCGTATGGGGAGAGCGACCTTCCTCTCAAAGCTCAGAATAATGTAGAATCCAACAACTTTAAGTTTTAGTTGTTGAATTCATATAGCTATACTTAAAAGTCGTTTTATTTACTAATGTGCTAAATAAAACTATGGGCTTAATATACTGTATATTCAGCACATTCAGGTCTTAAGCTGTTATTCAGGAGATCACAGAAGATATTAAACAGAAGAATATAAAGCAGAAAGTAAGGCAATATTAGTGAGGCCTGAGTCAATCTCGGATATCTTCACCAATTCAGCTACCTAAAAGGCTGCTTACGAAGTGTGGATTCCAGCAATATCCAGAGATGCCCACTGTTTCATGGTGATGTATAGCTGTTCCTACTTTTTTAGACGCATATATTTTTTTTCTATTTAAACATTGAAGTCATCCTGATAGACAGCTTTTTAACTTCCTGTCAAAACAACATGTTGTGAATATCTTTCCATAGCAAAAAAAAACCACTATACTTCTATGAAATTATTTTCTTAAAGTATGGTTGCCTCTAGAATTGAATTAATAAAGCTCAATATTAATGTTTTGAGCTGTAACTTTTTCCACCTGTGTTTTTCCCTCTCTGCTTCCTTACCTCAGAAGAATTATGTATATAGCAAGAAAGCAAAGCCAGGCGGGGTGGCTCATGCCTGTAATCCTAGCACTCTGGGATGCTAAGGCGGGAGGGTTGCTTGAGCTCAGGAGTTCGAGACCAGCCTGAGCAAAAGGGAGATCCAGTCTCTACTAAAAATAGAAAAAAAAGATCGATGGGGCATGATGGTGTGCACCTGTAGTCCCAGCTACTGGAGAGGCTGAAGCAGGAGGATCTCTTGAGCCCAGGAAATTGAGGTTACAGTGAGCTATGATGACACCAGTGCACTCTAGTCAGGGCTACAGAGCGAGACTGTCTCAAAAAAACAAGCAGAAGAACCTTTCACTAGACTTACTGGCTTTTGTGTTCCAAAAAGGCTGAGCCAGTTGAGGAAAATAGCATTTGGTGGAAGAGACCGAATGCTCTAGAGAAGCAGAAAAAGAGAAGTATGATAACCCCAAAGTAGAGATTACTCAGGTCCTTAGAGTCCCATGGGTTCCCAACCCTGACAAAGATTAAAGATTTCTGTAACCCAGCATGACTGGCCACAGGGCATGGGGAGAGTGGCAGAGAAGTACAGCGGCCTACAAAAACGATGGCAGCCTCAGCAGTGGCAATCAGCTCGGCATATGTGGGTTGTGGACTATGATTCATGCACTCTACAGAAGATAATGTTGGCCTGGAAACGTGGAACAGGAAAACTAATACTCAAATACAGAAGTACATGCTTAAAATCCATAAGCCTAAAAATCAGGTGCTAAGGTGTTCAGCCATCCAAAAAAAGGTGGAAGAGTTCCCCTGCTTTGGGTGTCTGCTTATATACTTCCACTAATTTCCTTTTGATAGAATATTGGCAAAGGGTAAAAGATGATAAACATTTGCAATTACCAGGTATAGGAAGAGGAAGCCATAAAACATGAATTTTAAGACAACCTTTTGGTGCTCAAGTCAGACTCCCTGCTTCTAGATATCTTCTATCACAAGTACTAAAAAGGAGGCCTCAGTAACAGAGGAGTGGCCTTAGGCAAGCTAAAACATTTTTTGATTTGGGGTGTTAATAGCCATAGACTTTAAATATCCCTTTGTCGTCTCTCATCACATTGGCCTCAGGAGAATTATAATAAAGAGAACATGTGATTTCTCCAAAGTTAGAAGGTTCCTATGGTTCATTTCTAGAACTTCAAAGAAAACATAGCAGCAACTGGCACCATGATTACAGTGGCAGTGAACCAGGGACAATGTGCTAGGAGAATCTACCAAACAGTTCGTAGAAGGTCATTTTACCTTCTATGGCTATGGTATGCTTCTAAAACAGCACACAGCTATATGATGCAATGGAGTTTATAGACTCAGAAATTTGGAGTTGGGAGGGATCATGGAAGCAATCTAGAAAAACCTTATTTCCAGAAAAGAAAAACCTATCAACCATGTTAGTGTTGCCTTAAAATGAATTTGAGCCCAAATTTGCACATTAGTACCTAAAAATGTAGAAACTACATAATTTTTGAAACTAGAACATATCATATAGAATTTATTTTCACACAGACCTTTTCAACTGTGTCTCTGAATGCAACTTGGAAGACTATAAGGATGTTCTATCCAATAACAGTTTACCTCCTAACTAGTTGTCCTTTCCTTTACTGCGAATCATTAAGAGTCATTTTATTTCAAATGCCACCGGCTTTTTTAAGCGCTCAATATTGTGAGTGGCTGTGATCTTAAATAAATTTGGAGATCTCTTACTGTAGGCAGTTCATACCCAATTTTCTAGGACATTCTGTTTGTATATATGTTTGTATGTATTCTGTCCTGTGTATATGATCTGATCTTCAAGCATCACATTTATTTTCATTATCGAAACATTTTGAATTTCAAGAATTTTTTCTTATAAATCATTCATAGAATTTTGATTTTGATACAGCTTTGTGTGATTCTCTAGTCTATTTCATCAAACCAATATTTGTTAGTTGCCCACTAAATATACAGCATTAAAGATGCAAAGAACACAGGTCCTGTACTCAAGTTGCTTATCTAAGTGAGCTAACATACAGGCATAGTTAAATGATAATATCAGATTATCTGTAGATCAGAGTGATTATACAGCAAACTGGGACAAGCAGCCCAGGTCTTAGGCCACTGAGTTCCCCAGATTGCTGGTAACTAATGACCACGTAGTTGGAAATGCACATAAGTGGTCTTCACCTGTTCTGAGATCCATAGAGGAATTTCTGTAGTTGATACAAATCAGAGTGGCTGCCCACCTCACAGTTAGGTCCCCACCAGTCATGTCTATGCTACACCATGGTGATAGTCTCTGTCTCCTATAATTCAGGATGGCTGGATTGGTGGCAGCAAGACAAGTCTGGGAGTGGGTAATACCTACCCAATGCTGGTTGGTATCACAGCTGAAAAGTCAAGAAACATTTATCTTTTATGTTTTGGAGACTTGGGCGAATAAAACAGCCCAGTTATTTAAATCCTCTGCTGAGACACTGCCCTGTTTGCTGTTAAAGGAGAGGCACTAGGACTTTTCTAGTTACAATGACACTCTTACCTGGAACATGGCAGTATATACATGTCATCATGTATATTCAGAATAGCAAATACCAAATATATGTGTATGCTAAGGACTCAAAACAGTTCATGTGGACGATTACATATACAGTTGACACTTGAACAACACAGGTTTGAATTATGTGGGTCTGTGTATGTGTGGATTTTTTCCAGTAAATATATTGGAAAATATTTTGGAGATTTGTGACAATTTGAAAAACTCACAGATGAACCACGTAGCTTAGAAATATCAAAAAAATTAAAGAAAAAATAGATATGTCATGAATGCATAAAATATATGTAGATGCTAGTCTATTTTATCATTTAATAGCATAAAATATACATGAATCTTTTATAAAAGTTAAAACTTATCAAAACACACACACAAACACTTACAGACCATACATGTCACCATTCACAGTCGTGAGAAATGTAAGCAAACATAAAGGTGCAGTAATAAATCATAACTACATAAAGTCAACTGTAGTACATATTATACTACTGTAATAATTTTGTGGCC